CAGAAGTCACCATCTATACACATAGGATTGGAACTTTGGCATGGTCAGATGTTTTTCCCCTTGTGTGTGTGTGTGTGTGTGTGTGCTGGGGGTGAGGAAAGTGGTAAGAGAATGGAGAGTCTGCTTTTGCAAACTGGGGTTGTGGGCAATACGTAGTCTACACATGAACTTCAGGGATTCCAGAGAATGACAAAATGTAGATTTGCAATTTGTACAGGAACCTCTTTGTGTGAGTGTAGGGTAGATTCATGGGTTTCTAGAAAGTAGTAAGGAGGAAGCACATGGTCCAAGTGACTTGGTCCTTCAGTATCTAGAATGCTGATTCCAAACTTCCATTCTCTTTTCTTTAGCTAATAAGTAATTTATTCAATTTGAAGGAAAGGATTTTATATTGAATATAGTAAAAATGCAAAGACATTAAGGTTTCCTTTTATATAATACTTTACTAGTTAGTTAAACAAGAGTTATTTTTTCATTTTAGTTTTTGTTCCCCTGACACATGTACTTGCCTGGACACATAGGTGTGCACATTTGAGGACATAGCACATGCAGGAAGAGTCTGCCAGCCTGAGCACTTTTAATGTTCCTACTCTTGACCTTCTTCCTTATTTTAATATTTATTTTTTAGTTGTAGGTGGACACAATACCTTTATTTATTTATTTTTATGTGGTGCTAAGGATAGAACCCAGGGCCTTGCATGTGCTAGGTGAGTGCTCTACCGCTGAGTCACAACCCTAGCCCAATCTTCTTCCTTTAAAAAAAAAGTGGTAAAAAAATGCATAACATACAACTAACCATTTTAGAGTGCACGTTCAGTTGTATTACATTCATAATGTTGTATAAATATCATCATAGTCTATTTTTCATTATCCCAAACAGAAACTATGCCCATTAGGCAGTAATTCCCCATCTCCTCATCCTCCAGTCCTTGGTAACCTCTGTTCTGCTTTCTGTCTCTATGAATTTGCCTGGCCTAGGTATCACAAGTATGTGGAACCATTTAATGTGTCCTTTTAGTCTGGCTTCTCTCATTTAGCATGTTTTTGAAGTTCATGTCATAGTATCAGAATTTCCTTCATTTTTTAAGGGCTAAATATTATTCCATTGTATTTATCCATTCTTCTTTGATGGGACGCTGTGATTGTTTCCACTGTTTGATAAGAATTCATTTACTTTTTAAAAAGGAAAATATTATTGTTAAATCCAGGAAAAAGAAAATACTTAAGATAGAGACTGAATTTTAAATTGGGGAGTCACTGGGAGGAGGGTTTATGAGTTACTTTTTGCATTTATTACAAACCAGTTGGTTATCTTGTGAATAAAATCAATGTGAAAGTGTCCAGATTTGCATATTGTGGACAACTAATTTAAAATGTGCTCATATGGGGATTGTTATAAGAAGTCTATTTTAGGAACAACTGTGAAGGAAATACAGGCATGTGACCAGGTGGCCAACTGGAGTTTTAAAATTATCCTCGCTGACTGGAACAAATGGTGAGGTGAACAGTCTACTTTCCATTAGAGGAATCAAACAGGATAACTTCTGTCTCAACCCCTGCTGTGAGGGAACACAGCAGAGAGATTCTCTCTAGATGAATCAAGAGCCACAGATTTAAAAATCCTTTCCAGGCATCATCAATTCTTCCCCTTGGATTGACTAGATGCTGCTTCCAGGTGCAACCAGGGATTTGGGGGTATCTTTTCTCCCCAAGACTGATAAATTTGGATAGATGCAAAATTTTTATCAAAAGACAGACAGTAAAAAGACAAGGCTCAAAATAGGAAAAGATAATTATAATGATGTAGGACAGATGACGCTGGAGACCCAAGGAATTTTCAGGAAGCAAGTTGTTGAGGCTGGCCTTGCAATCCTCCTGCCTCAACCTCCACAGTAACTGTGATTAAAGGCATGTGTCACGGTACCCACTTCCTATAAGTACTTATCTGCCCTTCTTTATTGGGCTTGTGTGGCTTCTTGACTGTTTAGTTGGTTGTGGTCTGTGTGTTGCCTAATTGCTCCAGAAGTAGAGAACAAATCAGCACAGTTCCCACTCTCCAGCTTCCCAATAGGATTAGATTGCCATTTGGGCAACACCAGTATTTGTGTTTATTTTAAGCTAAGTTACACAGTAAAACTATAATTACTCATCCTTTCCTGCAAGTTTTTGCCTTGTATCCTATTCCTTAAAATTGACAATGATCTTTTTATTGTACTCAGTTTTTTATTCATTTGTAACTTATTCAACCTCAAACTCTATCTAAATGTCTCTCATTAACATTCAGATGCCTCAAACAATTTATCAATTAAACCTCCCTGGTGTTTTCCAGAACCTCTGGCCTCTAATTGGACTGATCACCCTCTCTGCATGGTTCCACACATTCTTTCTTTTCCTTCTTCTTCTTCTTCTTTTTTTTTTTTTTGGCTTCAACCTAGGGATGTTTTACCACTGAACTACTCCCCAGCTCTTTATTTTATTTTATTTTATTTTTGAGACTGGTCTTACTAAGTAGTTTAGGGCCTCGCTAAGTTGCTGAGGCTGGCCTGAAACTTGCAATCCTTCTGCCTTAGCCTCCCAAATTGCTGGTATTATATATATATATTTTGTGGACTAAACATTGTGCTCAGGTTCAACATAGAAAATAAAACAGTCACAATTGCTGCCTCCCAGGAGCTTACTATTTAATGGGAAATTCATGAAGAAAACAAAAATAAAAACAACAAAAACCCTCAACAAACTCCATAGCTATGAGTTTCCTATTCCTAGCTATTTTCTGGGCTCTGGAGTTGGTGCCTGTCAGGAGATGGCACTGGTGTGTGTGTCTCTGAAGTGTGAAAGGGCTGCTTCCCAATTTCTTGCTTGACCAACCTCACAACCTCCCATAGTGGGAATACTTTGAAGTACCTTCCACCTTGTCTCAGTTGGCCCTTGTCTCATGAAACAAAGCTGAGTATTTTTCAGTCTAGCTCCATCTGCCTCATAGTTGAGATTCTGTGTGGGGAACAATGGTGAGGCTGGATAATACTATGATGAGACTAGGTCAGAAACTGCAAGAATATGTAAATTTAGCCATACCTCCTTTGGAACATGTTGGAACTTTGGACCCCAAGCTCCATGCAGAAGTCTAGAAAATTGGGTTGAACTGTGAAGATAGCTCTGTTTCTCTAAGTCCAGAGTGGAGTCTTAATCTCATCACCACAACCAAAGTAAAGCTACCACCATCAGAGGAAACATGCCCAAGAACAGAGAGAAATGCACACACACACACACACACACACACACATCTGCATGCACAGAGGTTTTACCCTAATGCCCAAGAGGGGATGGCTTAGGCTTCTAAGTATTTATGGGCCAGCCTTGGCTCTCTGAAAGGTAGGAAGGAACAGACAGGCTAGGGATGTTCAAACTAAGAAAATTAGGATTCCACATCTATGAATCTTGTATCTCTAATCCCCATACACTATGGTCAAGTCAGATTTAGAAAATGATCTCCCTGTGAGCGGGTGGTAGAATTTCCTTAGATGAGTATCTCCACCTTGAGGAGCTGCAAAAGCTGTGGTGATAAGCCCAGAGTGCCCCCTAGAGGCTATAAGTGGTATTTTACTTCCCTGTGTGCAAACTCCCAATTCCAAGAGATTTAGTGAAAAATCAGGAAAGTGGAAGGCTTCAGAGCCAGTAAAACTAAAACTAAAATTGTAAGTTAAAATTACCCAACTCCCAAACAGGTACAGATGTAAACCATGTTAACAGTTCAGCTTGGCTTAACTAACTGGCCAGGAAATCATTTGGAATACACAAAACACATGGGAGTTATAGTTAAAACACTCTGCCTCTGTCATAAAGGTCCTCACCCCAAACTGTATGTGCTGGTGGTTACTGGAAGTCTCTGCTCTGAGTGGAAAGAAGCTGCCCTCAGGAGAGTTGCTGAGTAGGCTGGAGTCCAACCTCCAAGAGGAGAGAGGGTGGTTGACTCTCAAGTTCAGTGTGAACCAGGTCTAGGAAGAAGCTGCTCAAATGTGAATACCACCATAACTCAGGACCCGGGTAGTGTTCAGCCTTGGCCCGGGCTTCTGATACTCTTGTAAGAACAAAAAACAAGGGAAAGGCTCAAGGTCCTGCCAGACCTGGGCACACTTTCATGGAAAGGTCCTAGTGTAGAGGCTAGGTGTGGTGGCTTCTGGAGGGGGAAAAGTAGCCTGATGGCTGCTGAAAGGGGTTTAAAGACACTAACCTTCTTATTTTATAGGCTGCCCAAAGTAGATAATTACCTTGCCCAGCAAAAAAGGAAACACATTCTTTGTTCTGCCTCTTCTTCTTGGCTTCCTCTGGAGTTCAAGCAGGAGCCTAGGTGGCATAATCTGAAAGCACTGCATTGTGCCGGGGTGCAGCATCTGCTCTTTGATATGGCCCCTAGGAAGCCTGCTGCGGAGGCCACTGGCCCTGAGTGCCCTAATGCTGGGGGTTTGTTGAACTTACAGTGAGGTTGCTCAGCACCCTTCTCCTTCAACCTTGGAACTTAGTTGTAAGTTACCATAAGGGGAAATTTCTGCTACACTTTGTCAGGCACTGGGTTAAGTGCTTTATATATATTATCTTTTTATCAATTCATCTTTTTCATACTTACTGTCTAAGTTACAAATATTGGTTTCATGTGTAGTGAAGAATAAGGCTTCAATCCTGCAAACAAGAGGATGAGTGGAGGAAAACCTGCCAAAGGTGGTTGGTGGCCTTTCTTCCCAGCCTCTAAAGCCAACCACTAGGGCAGGTAGAAGGAGGCTGAGAGGAATCTCAGTGTGCCCAGTGTGTCCCCTAACCAGACACCTCCATAAAGCCCATCAAAGAGCTCTTACCATGCCTCTTACCACCCCATGTCTTGTTTCTAAAAAGACACAACACATTTCATTCTAATAGCCCATTTCCCTCCATTGATTAGACATGTCAGGCTGACACTGCCCAGTTCCCTGCTCCTCTCCAGATGGGAAAGAAATGACCCGCTGCTGTTTGCTTTACTATAAATCAATCAAAGTTATTTATTTTCTAAAAGTATAAAAACACATATAAAAAGGGATTCACTCTTGGCTAAAATTTAAGAGATAGTATCATTATAATGTACAGCTCTGTGGACAAGGCATCTATGGAGAAAGGATTGCTCCCAAACCATCTGTCATTCTAACTGCTACTCTGCCCCAGTCTTGAGAAGTTACTATTTCTAAGTTACACACAAACAAAGTATAAGCTTTATTAAACCAGACCCATAAAAGCAAGGATTATACTTCTTCAGGTTCCTAAGATATAATTCCAAGGCTCAGAGGAAAATAATCTTATGTCAGTCCCAGGGAACTTTTCTCCCCAAGAGTCGATTCGTCACTTTCTGTGGAAGAAAAGAAAGGCAGAAAAGAAGTCAGGTACTCTTATCATAAGAGGCAGTGGCCACTCCTCACCTGAGCCACGTTGCTGAAGAGATCACGGGGTTCTACCCAAATCTTGTTTACATTACTCAACCATATAAACTATGGCAATTGGACAAAAATACTTCCTGAAGCATTTAGGAAAGATGATCCTAGACTAACCACCCAGTTAGTTCACAGTACACAGTGACAGCGAGGGACCCAGTTCTGCAATACTAACACACTAGCCAAGCTCTGCAGTACCAGGGGCCTTCCCTCTGAGGCAGGCAGTCAGGCTCTGGGGCATGCTCCAGAGACTGTTCAGCCCCACATCAGTTTGGTATGAATTGGTCTTTTGGTTTCTGATTTTCAGAGTCCTATGAGGTGTAGTAGGGAGCTGGGAGGGAAACAAGGACAGTGAAGTACATGGCATTTCAGGAGCTAACTGGTGGCAAGACCCCTTCCCTGGGAGGTTCTTGGACTTGCAGCACCACTGACTGCACTGGGGCTATGGCCTCTGACCACCCCACACTGACATCTCTTAGGCTACATTAAGACATGTTCCAGTGTATTAAGATAGTTCTAGAGGTATAAAATCACCACTTGGGACTTGGACAATTCTGATGTTTTGGACATTTCCAACATAATATCTAAATTGCATCCTATATATGAAATTTGGTTTCATTCCAAAAGCACGGAAAACGTGCTACACAACTTAGGCTGGAGAGCTAAACCTAATCACAGGTGCCATATGTCTGAAATTTCAGCATTGGAACAGTACACTCCACTTCTCAAATGTGGTTAATTCTGACTGAATGCCCACACAGCTCAGACTATTTCTCTCCATTTCTCTCTCCCTAGAGAAGCCTGATGATTCCACTCTAGTTGGAGTATTGACTCAACTGACCGTTTTATATAGCTGAGCTCGCAGCCGATAGGACTTATATTCCAATTTCCTCTTCTCCTCTTCTTTCTTTTTCTGTACTTCTGGGAGTTGCTGGTAAATCCTTAGGAATGGTACCAGTAGAAACACAGAAAGCACTGAGGTTACCAAGACAGAGGTACATGATCTCTTACTGCACCTCCCTAAGTTCCACTGCCCTCCAGACATTCAGTCCCTCAGAAAGGCCCAGCCCCTGTTGCACACCCAGCTTCCTGTTAGACACTTGATATAGAGACCCTTGAGTGCTCACAATCTGGAAGAGATGGATAAAAATATGATAAAAAATTCCTAATAGTGGTTATATCTGAGAAAAGTGTAGGATAAAAGGGGAGACAGTGAATTTTTGATTTCCATTTTACATGCAAAAATGTTTCAATATAAGATAATAAACAGGTATTACTATTGTATTTTTAAATACAAGGAAAATAATGGAAGAGGAAAAAACTATAATATTTGTATCTACAAAATGCTACAGAGTTATAGGAGAAAAAGAAATTGATTTAATGGAATCTGGGCAGGGAAGAATTCAGAGAGGAGATTTTAGATGGATCTTGAAGAATAATTAGGAGCAGAAAGAGAGGAGGAGAAGGGAGGAAGGGTGCCCATGTCAGGAGAAGTAAGTACTGATAAGAATGGAGTCAGGGCTGCATAAAGAGCAGGGCAGAGGAATAGGTGGAAAGCAAATGGCACAAGGGTGAGGTGGGCTGTGGAGGATCTTGTAGTCATATTAAAAATTAGGTTCTATCCTGTGTGAGATTAGGTGCCATTGATTTGCAATTGGAAGGAATACAGTCAAATGTATATTTCAAAATACACTGGAAAAAATCTAAATGTCCAACAAAAGAACAGATAAACAGAAAATGAAAGATAATAGAATAATATTACAAAGCATAAAACAGATGTTTTAAAGAATTTTTAGTGACATGGGAAAATGTTCACAACATAATGTTGAATAAGCTAGAATAGGACACATACCTGTGTATACAGTAGGATGGTCAACCTGGGAAAAAAGCATGCATTATACAGGTCTCTGCAAAACCTCTATTCCTGTCTCCAGAAACAGGAGAAGTGTTAATATGTTTAGAAGGAAGAACTCTTTATTTTACCCTACTTAAAAAAAAATAGTTCTCAAATATTTCTATGAACTGAAAATAATAATAATAATAAACAAAGCAGAAGCTCTGTGGGAAATAGACCAGTGAAGGCACAATGAAAGAAACACAATGAAGAACACAATGGAAGAAACACTTCCAGATAAGAGTTCAGTTCTCTCTTCTCCGAATCTTTCTTCTCACTAGGACTTTTATACATCTTTATCACAGATGAGTGATGAGGAAAGATGATGAATAACATAAGCACCAGAGACGCAACCCCTTGAGGGGATGCAGCAGCAGGGGTACTGGATGGGGAGCCAGAAGCCTTCACTCTAACCCCAGCTCAAACCCCAACTTGCAGGTTACCTCCCGCTCTACCCATTGATCTCTATGATTCTCAGATGGTAGTGATTCACTTCCTTGAAAAGGGGCCACACAAGAAATAAAAGTGAAAAATGAAAATTTATCAGTTTAAAACTTGAGTCATATTTCTCCAGAAGATGGAGACTTAACCCCACCTGTAAGTATATTTATGGTAGAAAGAATCAAGGCCAGGTGTGGTGGTGCACACTTGTAATCTCAGTGACTCAGGAGGTTGAGGCAGGAGGATTGGGAGTTCAAAATCAGCCTTAGAAACTTAGTGAGACTGTCTCAAAATAAAATATAAAAAGGGCTGGGGATGTTGCTCAGTGGTTAAGCACTCGAATTCAATTCCTAGTACCCCCACTCCCAACCCCCGCCACCCCCCCCCCCAAAAAAAGTCAGTATCTTAGAGAAGATGCCTTGCTTATGTCCCTCTAGGAAAGCTTCACAGATTCTTAAGCAAGGTCTTCTCTTGCTGAGATAAGAGTGTAATTAACTGCCACACAAGGAACCTTGTATAATTTATCCAAATTAAATTTTGTGACAGAGTTAGAATAAAGCAATGGTTCTAAAATTTTTTGGATGCAGGGATCCTTTACACCCCTAAAAATTGAGAACCTTGATGTGGATTTTATCCATTGAGAGCATATTAAAAATTAAAACTAAAAACTTAAAAATACTTATTTCTTAATTTACTTAATAAACAAGATGTCAAGAAGAATGCTTCAATTATACAGGATAAGCTGCTTTCAAGAACTATTACTGGAAAAGGAAATGGAGGAGAGTGGTGACCAGAAGTGAGCTCAGGCCAAGTTTGCTTAGAACTGAATTCCCTCACAGACTGCAAAGGGTCTGAGGGAAATGCAGAGGGAAAGCAGCTTGCCGCAGATGGGTGGAATTGAGTGCTGCGGAGTTCTGGCAGCGTAGACAAGCAGAGTTTCAGATCCTGTGGAGATACAGCACGCCAGACTGCCACTTGCGTCCCCACAGGGCACCGGACTGAGGACTGAAGTTTGGACTTAGCTGAGAAACAGCCCAGTTCCCTCCTTCTCACTGGACACCCAGGCGCAGAAACGGGCGGTTGCCATCTTGGAAAATCTACCTCATCAGCTTTGGGCAGATAGCACTGGCAGCGAGATTGGCAACAGAACAGTTGTGTGACCCCCAGCCCCCACATCCACCCAGCTAGGATAACTCAAAAACTTTCTCGCCAGCTCTCGGTGGGCTTGAAAATCAGAGCCGAGTGAAACTGAAAAGGCTCCTGCTCTCCAACTCCCCCTCCCCCAGCTGCAATAACCAAAACCTTTCTCACCGCTAGCGTGGCTATCAGAGGGAATAAGTCAGAACAGGTTGCTGGTTTCCAACTCCCTCTCTCCACAGCTGTGATGACTGGGTGATTACCAAACAAAGAGAGCGCTCAGTTGATCAAGAGTTCAGGGCAGCCAGGGCGCCGCAAGCCCAGAGTGAAACCAGAGCTGTGGAGAAGTGTCCAAGTAATTGGGGCCTGGCGGGCTGGAGAAGTGAGGGGGATAGAAACCGGAAGCAACCCAAAGAGACCGGGATTGGAGAGGCACCCGGCAGGGGAGGGACAGCCACCCCACACGGATTGCTTCCTACATCCTGAGGGCAGAGACTCAGCCTGGAATGCACAACGACACCTACTGGAGGAGAAGAAAACAGAATTCTAAGAGTGCATTTTTTTCTTTTCTCTCTTTTTTTCTTTTCTTTGTACTTTTCTTCCTTCTTCTCTTCCCCTCCCAACCTCCCAAGTGTTACTACTTCTACTAAGTGCAATTTACTAAATGCAAATAGGTGAATGTTTCTATGCTTTTTATAGTCCTCCTAAGTACTTAGCTACCCCAAAATACTCCTATCTATTCTCCTGTTAATATCCTCCTTCATTAGAGCTCTTCTCCAAAGTAGCTAAGATATATAAACCCCCATTATCCTCACATCTTTCCCCCTAAACATAAAGTCCTATGTCCAACCCTTAGTTCTCTATACGCCACCAGAATCTGTATGCCTTTTATGAAACTATGAATTTACTTTAAATTACATTTGAACCCAACATCTCTAGACATTGTCTCCCATCACAAAGGAGAGATCTCGGAGCTATACAAAAGCAAAACAAATTTATAGGGGAAAATAATAACACAGCAGTCACACAGAGCTGGAAAGAAATGTGTGAGCATCATGAAAAAACAAGGAAAAAAAGGAACTCAAACAATGCAGGACAACTCAACAATAGAGGAGTTGGTAGCCATAGCAGAGAAAATGTCAGATAAAGATTTCAAGATATACATGCTTCAGATGATCTGGAGTCTCAAGGAAGACCTTATACCGCAAATGCAGGCAATGAAAGATCACTTTGACAATGAATTACATAAACACATCCAAGAAGCAAAAGAACAACTCTACAGGGAGATAGAGGTTATACAAAAAAAAATCAAACAGAAATCCTGGAAATGAAGGAAATTATTAACCAAATTAAAAACTCAAATGGGAGTATCACCAGCAGAGTAGACCAATTAGAAGTCAGAAAAATAAAGACAAAATATATCATCTCGAAAAGAGTCTAGTCAACTCAGAAAGGCTGATAAGAAACCACGAGCAGAACATCCAAAAGATTTGGGATAACATTAAAAAAAAAAAAAACAAATTTAAGAGTCATTGGGATAGAGGAAGGTATAGAGGTCCAAACCAAAGTAATGAGCAATTTGTTCAATGAAATAATTTTAGAAAACTTTCCACACATAAAGATTGAAACGGAAATCCAAATCCTAGAAGCGTAGAGGATGCCAAATGTACAAAACCACCAGAGACCCACACCAAGACACATTATAATGAAAATGTCTAACATACAGAACAAGGAGAGAATTTTAAACGCCACAAGATAAAGGAGGAAGATTACATTTAGGGGTAAACCAATTAGGTAAGTGGCTGATTTTTCAACACAGAAGCTGAAAGCTAGAAGATCCTGGAACAATGTATTTCAAACACTGAAAGATAATGGGTTCCAACCAAGAATCTTGTATCCAGCAAAACTAAGCTTCAGGTTTGATGATGAAATAAAAACCTTCAACGATAAACAAAAGTTAAAAGAATCCGCAGCTAGAAAACCAGCACTGCAAAGCATTTTGAGCAAAACACTACACAAAGAGGAAATGAAAAACAACAATGAAAATCAACAGTGGGAGATAGCACAGTAAAGGGAAAAACTAATCAAAGAGGAAAAACAAATCAAGTTAAATAACAAAAATAAACAAACATGGCTGGAAGTACAACCCATATCTCAATAGTAACCCTAAATGTTAATGGCTTAAACTCACCAATCAAAAGACATAGGCTAATAGACTGGATTAAAAAAAAAAAGATCCAACAATATGCTGCCTACAGGAGACTCATCTGATTGGAAAAGACATACACAGACTGAAGGTGAAAGGTTGGGAAAAATCATACCACTCACATGGACCTAAGAAGCAAGCAGCGGTGTCCATACTCATTTCAAATAAAATAGACTTCAAGCCAAAGTTAATCAAAAGGGATAAAGAAGGACACAACATACTACTAAAGGGAACCATTCACCAACAAGACATAACAATCATTAATATATATGCCCCAAACAATGGTGCAGTTTATGTTCATCAAACAAACTCTTCTCAAGTTCAAGAGACAAATAGATAGACCACAACACAATAATCATGGGTGACTTTAACACACCTCTCTCACCACTGGACAGATCTTCCAAACAAAAGTTGAATAAAGAAACTATAGAACTCAAAAACACAATTAATAACTTAGACTTAATTGACATATATAGACTATATCAACCATCATCAAGTGGATTCAATTTTTTTTCAGCAGCACATGGATCCTTCTCAAAAATAGACCATATATTATGCCATAGGGCAACTCTTAGCAAATATAAAGGAGTAGAGATATTACCATGCATTTTATCCAATCATAATGGAATGAAATTGGAAATCAACGATAAAATAAGGAAGAAAAATTCCTACATCACTTGGAGAATGAACAATATGCTACTGAATGGGTTACAGAAGACATCAAGGAGGAAATTAAAAAAAGCTTAGAGATAAATGAAAACACAGAGACAACATATCGAAATCTATGGGACACTATAAAAGCAGTACTAAGAGGAAAATTCATTGCCTGGGGTTCATTCCTCAAAAAAAGAAAAATCCAACAAATAAATGATCTCACACTACATTTCAAAGCCCTAGAAAAAGAAGAGCAAATCAGCAGCAAATTCAGGGGAAGGCAAGAAATAATTAAAATCAGAGCTGAAATCAATGAAATCGAAATAAAAGAAACAATTGAAAAAATTGACAAACTAAAAATTGGTTCTTTGAAAAAATAAATAAGATCAACAGACCCTTAGCCATGCCAACAAAGAGAAGAAGAGAGAGAACACAAATTACTAGCATATGGGATGAAAAAGGCAATATCACAACAGACACTACAGAAATACAGAATTAGAAATTATTTTGAAACCTTATACTCCAATAAAATAGAAGATAGTGAAGGCATTGATAAATTTCTTAAGTCATATGATCTGTCCAGATTGAGTCAGGAGGATATACACAACCTTAAACAGACCAATATCAAGTGAGGAAATAGAAGAAGCCATCAAAAGATTACCAACCAAGAAAAGCCCAGGACCGCACAGATATACAGCAGAGTTTTACAAGACCTTTAAAGAAGAACTAATACCAATACTCTTCAATCTATTTCAGGAAATAGAAAAAGAGGGAGTACTTCCAAATTCATTCTACAAAGCCAACATTACCCTGATTCCAAAACCAGACAAAGACACTTCAAAGAAAGAAAACTTCAAACCAATATCTCTAATGAATATAGATGCAAAAATCCTCAATAAAATTCTGGCAAGTTGAATACAAAAACATATCAAAAAGATCGTGCACCATGATCAAGTGGGATTCATCCCCAGGATGCAAGGCTGGTTCAATATATGGAAATCAATAAATGTAATTCACCACATCAATAAACTTAAAGATAAGAACGATATGATCATCTCGATAGACGCAGAAAAAGCATTCAATAAAAATACAGCATACCTTTATGTTCAAAACACTAGAAAAACTAGGGATAACAGGAACTTACCTCAACATTGTAAAAGCTATGTACGCTAAGCCTCAGGCCAGCATCATTCTAAATGGAGAAATATTGAAGGCATTCCCTCTAAAATCTGGAACAAGACAGGGATGCCCTCTCTCACCACTTCTATTCAACATAGTTGTGGAAGTACTAGCCAGAGCAATTAGACAGACGAAAGAAAGGTCCTATAGTTAAAGGTATAACTATAGGAAAAGAAGAACTTAAACTAGCACTATTTGCTGATGATATGATCCTATACCTAGCAGACCCAAAAGGTTCTACCAAGAAACTTCTAGAACTAGTAAATGAGTTCAGCAAAGTGGCAGGATATAAAATCAACACCCATAAATCAAAGGCATTCCTATATATCAGTGACAAATCCTCTGAAATGGAAATGAGGAAAACTACCCCATTCACAATAACCTAAAAAAATAAAATAAAATACTTGGGAATCAACTTAACAAAAGAGGTGAAAGATCTATAAAATAAAAACTACAGAACCCTAAAGAGAGAAATAGAAGAAGACCTTAGAAGATAGAAAGATTTACCTTGCTCATGGATAGGCAGAATTAATATTATTAAAATGACCATATTACCAAAAGCACTCTACAGATTCAATGTGATTCCGATCAAAATCCCAACAGCATTTCTTGCAAAAGAGAAAAAGCAATCATGAAATTCATCTGGATAAATAAGAGACCCAGAATAGCTAAAGCAATTCTAAGCAGGAAGAGTGAAACAGGTGGTATCACTATATCAAATCTTAAACTATACTACAGAGCAATAATAACAAAAACAGCATGTACTGGCACCAAAACAGGCTGGTAGACCAATGGTACAAAATAGAGGACACAGAAACCAACCCACAAAATTACAACTACCTTATATTAGACAAAGTGCTAAAAGCATGCAATGATAAAAGGAGAGCATCTTCAACAAATGGTGCTGGGAGAACTGGAAATCCATATGCAACAAAATGAAATTGAATCCCTTTCTCTCACCATGCACAAAAGTTAACTCAAAATGGATCAAGGATCTAGGAATCAAACCAGAGACTCTGTGTCTAATAGAAGAAAAAGTAGGCCCTAATCTCCATCACGTGGGGTCAGGCCCCAGATTCCTTAATAAGACACCTATAGCACAAGAGTTAAAACCAAGAATCAATAAATGGGACGAATTCAAACTAAAAAGTTTTTTTCTCAGCAAGAGAAATAATATGTGAGGTGAATAGGGAGCCTACATCCTGGGAACAAATTTTTACCCCTCACACATCAGATAGAGCTCTAATGTCTAGAATATACAAAGAACTCAAAAAGTTAAACAACAAAAAAACAAATAACCCAATCAACAAATGGGCCAAGGACCTGAGCAGACATTTCTCAGAAGAGGATATATACAATCAATCAACAAATACATGAAAAAATGCTCACCATCTCTAGCAGTCAGAGAAATGCAAATTAAAACTACTCTAAGATGCCATCTCACTCCAGTAAGAATGGCAGCCATTATGAAGTCAAACAAAAACAAGTGCTGGCGAGGATGCGGAGAAAAAAGTACACTCAGACATTGCTGGTGGGACTGCAAATTGGTGCAGCCAATTTAGAAAGCAGTATGGAGATTCTTTGGAAAGCTGGGAATGGAACCACCATTTGACCCAGCTATTCCCCTTCTCAGACTATACCCCAAAGACCTAAAAACAGCATACTACAGGGACACAGCTACATCAATGTTTATAGCAGCACAATTCACAATAGCTAGACTGTGGAACCAACCTAGATGCCCTTCAATGGATGAAAAAAATGTGGCATTTAGACACAATGGAATATTACTCAGCACTAAAAAATAACAAGATCATGGCATTTGCAGGGAAATGGATGGCATTAGAGCAGATTATGCTAAGTGAATTTAGCCAATCCCTAAAAAACAAAGGCCGAATGTCTTCTCTGATATAAAGGGGATGACTCAAAATGGAGTAGGGAGGAAGAGCACGAGAAGAAGATTACCACTAAATAGGGAAGAGAAGTGGGAGGTAAAGGAAGGGAAAAGGGGAATGGAAGGAGACCCTCATTGTTACACAGAATACATGTATGAAGATGCAAGGGGAAAAAAAAAAAGAAGTGTGTCACATTAGATTGGGTAGAGAGAAGTGATGGGAGGAGAGGAGAGGGGAAGGGGGGATAGGAAGGACAGCAGAATAAAATAGACATCATTATTGCTGTATGTATATACGTGACTATATGACCAATGTGATTCTGCAACCTGTATACTCAGAAAAATGAGAAATTATACCCCATCTCATTCAAATGTATGATATGTCAAGATCATTGTAATGTCATTTGTAACTAATTAAAACAAATAAAAAATTTTTTAAAAAAAGAACTATTACTTCATGGGCTGGGGTTGTGGCTCAGTGGTAGAGTGGTTGCCTAGCACAAGTGAGGCACTGGGTTCTATCCTCAGCACCACATAAAAATAAGATAAAGAGATTGTATCCATCTACAACTAAAGAAACACATACTTTAAAAAAAAAAAACATTATTTCAGATGCATTGTGCCAACTATAAAACTTTTATTAAAACAAACCTCCAACAAAACCCTGAAGTGTGGTTACACTTTAACCTAGTTAACCTAGTTTTGCATGGCATTCTCACAATCAATATATGCCTATCTAAAAAAAAAAAAAGATTTAACAATTTATATATATATATATATATATGAATATATACATATATATGCCTATCTCAAATTATTTAATTAATTAATGAGTAGCTAATGCCTGAAATGGCACAAGATTAAACAAGTATAAGGAAATGAAAAACTGTTCTCTCCCCTACTTCTGCACCCCAGCTATTCAGTTCTTTTTCCCAAAGGCGACCTCTATTACCAGTGTGTTGTATCTTCCAGAGATATTTTATACATATAAAAGTATACACATCTTAATGAGCACAAGTATTTCTTTTTAAAAACCGCCAAGGCAGCAGTGTACGTGTGCTTTTAAAACTTGATTTTTTAAGCTTAACTTAATGTCTTGGAGAACACCCCATTATTTCTCACTCTATTAAATAAATTTCTAGAAATAAGATTGCTAGGATAAGAGGCACAGCCTCAAATAAATGTTTAATTCTACTTCAGAAATCTATTATCTAGGTTTCCAATACAGATGAGCTTAAGGCATGCAAATCAGCTGGGATTCTTTCATCTTTTGTATGTGAATCATTCATACCGTATCTGTTATCTATTTTGTGCAAAAAGTAAGAAGCTACATTCACATCTTTCTCATAATGTTTTCACTTGACTATAATACTTTTATTCTTTCATAATTAACATTGTCATTTTGGTCTTACCGTTTAGACCTCTGGATCATTTCCTTCTTTCCAATAGGCTTATTCTGGGCAGCCATGAATACTAAGCAAGAGAAGAAGCAGTTTTCAGTGGATAGTGACTTAATAAGGTGTGGCACTCTAGGGCTGTGAGAGAGAGATGCTGGACTTTGTGCCCTAAGGAGGGTGCAGTACAGGGTGGTGAGCAATGAGCAATGAACAAGGTAAGGCCAAAGCTTGGATTAGAATAGGATGATTGTGACAGTAGCCTAAGGCCCCTGAAGATATAGTACTCTATAGACCAGACAGCTGGAACTGATAAACGAATCAGTTTATAGGTAAGGCTATGATGACAGCCTTGTTAGTATTTTATATTTTTCACATATGATTTTATTGAGATCTTAGACTTAGTATTAAGAGCACAGACTCTCGAGCCAGTCTACCTTCATTTAAATCCTAGTTCTTTTACCTCTTAGGTGTGAAACTTGGGCAAAATACTTAATCTCTCTCTGCCTCAGTTTTCTGTGAAAATGGATATGAATCACACCTACCTTAGAAAAGTCTTGTCAGAACAGTGGGCAAGATGTAAGGGCTACATGTTTATTATCGGTATTGTTACTGTTACCACTTTAGGGTGGCAAGTCAGAACTGGCTCCATCTTTAGAGGAAAAAAAATTATATTTTTGGAATTAACTTGCCCACGGACACAGAGCTGGTTTATTTAAAAAAAGAAAATTTCACTGAATGTTCTCTTTTTGAAATGCAGCAACAGCGTTAGAATAGCTGGGCTGACTTGGATCATGAAATTGCTAAAAACCTGGTTGGGCCAATTCTGCTGACAAGATTTGAATCTCAGCAAGCAAAATGTTGTGTCCAGTTCTTCTGAGTGGCCCAGCATTCAGCTATGTTCCCCAGCAGAGCAGCAGCTTTGCTTTCTCTAGCCTATGACAGGAAAATGACAAGAAGGCGTACCTCTCCTAGGTTGGGGTTGAATGGTATTGAACAGCACATCTCGCTCACTCTCGAACATGTTCTGCAGCTTCCTTTCCTGGACTATTAACTTCAGGCGCTTTATCCGCTCCCCAGAGCGGGAGATGAAATCAGGTCTGTGAAAATGAAGTGCCTCCTACAAAGGAGAAAAAGCCTCAGCCTCACATTAATGATGTAGTCTGCTTTCCAAGTGCCCAGAAAAACAGTACCTGCTTAGCAGCATTGAGGGGCCTATTTCTTTCTTTAAAAAAAAAAAAAAAACATTTATTATATTTTTAGGTGTAGATGGACACAACACAATGCCTTTATTTTTATGTGGTGCTGAGGCTCGAACCCGGGTCCTACCCATGCTAGGCTAGCGCTCTATCGCTGAGCCACAATCTCAGCCCGTGGGGCCTGTTTCTAATGCTCAGAAAATACCTGATACCTCTCTGCAGGGGAGCTCCAGCAGAGAAATCAAAGGGATCTAAGAAGTGCTTTTGGAATAAGCCAAGAACTAGGACTGCGGCAATTACAACTCTTCCAAATGTTAATGGGGCAGAGCTCAGTCCATTGTGCTATTTAAAATTTCTCTTCAAACAAATATATGATTAAAAAACTGCAGACCTGCTGAAGAAAGAGGGTCATGTGACTAAGCCTCAGAATGTCAAGTCACAGATACTACTTGTTCATGTCTTGCCCTCCCCCCCATAAACACAGGGCTGAATTTAATTTGTCACTGCACCTGCAGGGTTGCTTTCACAAATGGCTTCAGTAGACCTCGGCCATAATCTCTGCCTGGGTCTGCCAGTGATCCCCAACCCTCCATGCGTTGTCCTTGCCAGTTCTGTTCCCGCAGTGGTTCTCTCCAGGGTTTAGTTTTGGTTATTGGTTCAAACCAGGAGATACCAGGACCACAACTCTTCAGCAGATTTTCCTTCTTAGATCCAGACTTCACATTTTCCACAGGAACAAACCATGAAACTCCTACAGGAAATACTTTTAAGAAGGAAAAAAAAAATTGTTTATATCACCCCACCCAGTTCTCATCAAAGATATACATATATAATAAAGATTTCCAGGGGGCTCAGCTATCAGGGGCCCCCAGGGTACCCTTAAATCTGTTTTAATTGCAGGTATGACTCTGTAAATATAGTTCTAGATATTTTGAAAATTTACCATCATGGTGGCTGAGGGTAGGTGGAGTCAATATGGAGTTAGTTAGAAACAAAGAATCTTAGCAATGCAACAGGTTTAATTCACTAGTTTTTCTGCTGTAAAACCTGGAAGTAGAATCTGACCTTCACAGGAGTTCTTCTTGTTCTTCTTTAACTTTTTGTCCCCAAGATAATTGGTAACAGGTATTTTCTCTTCAACTTTTTCTTCTAACCAAGAAGTTACATCGCTATCCTCTTCTAATCTAGCCTCACTAGAGCTTGGAGTTGGGAAAGTCACCCCAACATCACGAGTGTGTTTTCCATCACCATGTACAATCTCCAAGTTACCTGAGGGAAAAGATCACAGATGTCTGTGGGAGCATTCTTGAGGTTTGGTTCAAAGATATGTTGCCTTTTTTGTGGGGTATATGGGAAAAGAGTGAGAGGAAGAAAAATGGAGAGATGTAGAGGGAGGAAGAGATGGAGAGAAAGGGAGAAAGAAAATGGGTTTTAACTTCTAAGCCCGTTCAGAATCAGAGAAAAAGAAGAATGAAATGGATTTAGTAGGTAAGGAATTTTGGTTCCAATCCCAAGACAGTAAAATTGTACAGTCCTATTGGCAGTCACCCAGCTAAGAGGTTGATAGCAGTGAAGAGAAGACTTAAGGGGGAGGAGGTAAGGGGAAAAAAAAAAAAACACCCAAGAAGGAAGTTTTTCTTTTTTAAACTTTGTTTAAAAAAAATCAAAAGATACAGAAAGGCATAAACTTGAAATCTTCCTTCTCACTAGTTCTCCATTTACTTTATTTACAATCTCAGGATTCCAGAAAAAATATTTTTGTATATTCAAGCAATTCTCTTCCCTCCTTTATTTTTAAAAAATACTTGTAGTAGCATAATATATACTATTCCATACCTTTGTTTTTCTTTTAAATCATGTATCTTGAAGATCTTTCATTATGAGTATAGAAAGAGCTTCCTCATACTATGTAGGATTTCTTTAGTGGAAGTACAGTAATTTATTTAACCATTCAGTTACTGATGGATATCTCAGTTTATCTTAAATTTTGGCTATAACAAGCAGTTAATGGTTACTTTGGACACTTGTCATTCTTGTCAATTTGCACATATCCAAGTATTTCTATAGGCTAAATTCCAAAAGTAAAAATGCTGGGTCAAAGGAATTTTAATAGAAACTACCAACTTGCCTTTCACAGGGTTTGTACCAACTCATACTCCCACTAGAATGGTTGAGAGTGCTGCCTTCCACATATTCTTGTTCATAAACTTGAATTTTTGCCAATTTATAGGTGAAAATGGTATTTGGCCATGCAGGTAATTTTAATCTTCATTTCCCTTATTATGAGTGAGCTTAACTATCTTATATGCATAGAAAGGTCTTTCAATGGAAAAGTTTGAATTCAAGTGATTTACCTGCTTGTATGCCTTTGTTTAACATGTGCACATTTTCTTCGTTGCAAAGGGTAGAGTTCAAGCTCAAGAAACTACTGGCACATGAAACAGAGTCAGAAGAAATCATATGATTTGCCACCTAGAAAAACATAAAGGTCTACATTAGAGTTCCCTATGATCATGACACAGTTAACCACAAGATAAACAAGGCTACAGGTCCTCTAAAGTCTCTTTTAATCCAACTCAAATTGTTGAGATGCAATTGGAGGAAGCTTGAGACACATTACCACATGATAGGGAGGAGAATGCTATTGTAGTTGGAGAGGGCCCATGCTGCTGAAAAATAGTTAAGAGAAAAAGGGGCTGGGTGTTTTTCCAGGGCTTGAAGAAACTTAAAGATGCTAACCAAACATAGCCTAATGAATCTGCAGAATGAAATTCTCAATTGACACCTATATATCATTTTGATGTGAGATAAAAAGGTCTAGGAGATCTAAAGAAATTGATGTGCTGCAGAGAGTGCTCTCCAATAAAGCAGATTAAGATCTTCTCCAAACATCAAAGAGCTGCAAGGCCCCATGAGAAGTCATGAAGGGAGTATTGTAAAAGGCATGAAAAAGACCCAAAGAACATTTTAGTTATGTTCAGAGCAAGTAGAGTAATGAAGGATAAGTTAAGGGATAGAAGCTGATGTTGGAAGGCTGGTGAATGACAAAAAGACCATAAAATACAGCTGAATGAATAGAGTATAAAAGGGTATTTCTTAAACTTGCCATCACAAAAATGTCCTGGGAGGTGGGTAACCCAGAACAATAATTTGCAATGTCTAGGGGAGGGATTTGGACATCTATATTTTGAATAAATGCCAAGTGATTTTTTTTTTTACTTAAGCAAATTTCATAGATTTTAATTGAGGACCAAGTCAGGAGAGGAAACAAGAGTATTTGCTCCCTTGGAGCAGATAAACTATAATCCAAGATGCCCAGGGAACTTCCAACAAAATCCTGGAGAAAAAGAGTTATGTTTGATTTTCAGAAAGATGAGCATTGCAAACATGAGTTTGACACTGATGCCCTGTAAAATTTAGACCCTGATCACCAATATGATAATCTGAAAGCATTTGAAAGTCAAAGAAAAGATTAGCAAATTTCAGCCTGGGTTCAGTAAGGCAGGCAAAACAAGTACCACCACATTAGCCTTGTTTTCCCTAGTAAATATGGTCACTTGATTGGCAGACAAAAAGAATGTATAGTAGAATACAGCTAGATTTGAACAAAACATCTCATGGCACAGTTAAGGGCAAGATAGAGTTATATGGGTTGAATGATAATATAAGTTGGCAGAACCATAACTGGTTAAACCAACCTTACTCAAATATTGTTAACACAGAGAGAACTCTTTTTTTTTTCCCCAAGGTCAGAGTAGAAATTAGAAGTTTATTAAAGGACAGCAGAAAAGACTTCTCCCGGAGGAAGAAGGGGACCCAAGAGGTGGAATCCCCAGAGAGAACTCTTTATGGAGCAGTATACCTTGTATTTCACAACAAATATTAACCTAGCATCTATAATGTTCTAGTCACTGGATTTGGCTCTAGTATTCCTTCTTAACATTTTACAGATGGAAAATGTAAATGTCTTGAAGGTATGGAAAGGAGGAGAAATTCTATATAATGCACAAGTGTGCCTTTAATAGCTGTCAGGATTCCAAATAACAACAGGAATGATGGGCCAAGTCAAACAAGAGGATATTTAGCAGAATAATTATAAAGGATTGCACATTATGCAAGAAGAATGGTAGCAACTTGTGATCTGGAGTCCCAAAACCTGAGCCAGTCTCAGATCTTTCCTTTACCAGTTGTCACATACACCACAATTGCTTTGTGCTGTAGTTTCTCCATTAGGAAGTAGGAATAAAATTTTCATTTTTGAAGTTACAGAAGCATTAGAAAGAACAAATGATTTAGATGGTAAGCTATAAGAAACTAATATAAAACTATGAGTCTACAAGGATGTTAAAAAAAGTGTACAAATGCAGAAAGGACAGTGTACAAATGCAGAAAGCATGTAGGTGCTGGAATGCACTGACCTTCAAGATAGATATTAATGTATAAAAAGCAAAGTATGCTGCCATTTTTGTAAAAAAAAAAAAGGTTACAAAATCCACGTAGGTATTTGCCTTTCTGTGTTTGACATAAGTGAAAGAAAAGAATCTAGATTGGAAAGAAGCAATGACATGATCTATCTACAGAAAATACTAAATAATTCACAAAGAAATACTAGAACTACTAAGTTTAGCCAGGATGCAGAATATAAGATCAGGAAACAATCCAAATGTACAATTTTAAAAAAAATCAATGATGTTTCTATAATTAATAATGAGCAATCTGAAAAAGGAAATTAAGGAAGCAATTCCATTCACAAAAGTATCAAAAAGAATGAAATATTTGGGGAAAAAGTTAACAACAGATATGCTAAGTTTGCATACTGAGAACTATGAAATACTGCTTGGAGAAATTAAAGATCTAAAGAAATGGTGAGATATCCCATCTACATGAAATGGAAAATTCAAAATTTTGCCACTGTGCTTTATCCCCCAATTTTTTATTTTCAGAAAGGGTCTTGCTAAATTGCCAAGGTCAGCCCGGAACTTGTGATCCTACTTCAGCCTCTCAAGTAGCTGAGATTACAAGTGTGTGCCACCATGTCCAGCTTTAGCAAGCTTTTTTGGAAGCAAACTATAAACTGATTTCAAACTTATATGGAAGTAAAAAGGACCAGAAGAGCTGAAAATTATTGAAAGAGAACAAAGACTAAGACTTATTTTTTAAAATTTCAAAACTTAGTATAAAGCTACAGTAATCAAGACATTGTGGTATTAGTACAAAAACAGACAGACATATCAATAAATGAAACAGAACTGAGAGTGCAGAAACAAATTATTACATTTATGACCAATGGGTTTTCATCAAAGGAGCCAAAGCAACTGAATGGAAGGAAGGACAGTCTTTTGAACAAATGAGGCTGGGACAACTGGATCTCACATACCAAATGAATGTAGACACCACATCATACACAAAAATGGACTCAAAATGGATCACAGACTTAAGTAATAAGAACTAAAGCTATAAAACCTTTAAAAGAAAACACAGGGAAAAAAAACTTTGTGATTAGTTAGGCAAAGAAATCTCAGCCATATACCAAAAGCATAATCCATAATTTTTTTTAAACTGGACTTTTGATGGTCAAAAGACATTTCTAAAATAAAAAGACAAGTAACAGACTGGGAGAAATTATTCGTTAATCATAATCTAAGATTTGTAACCAAAACATATAAAACTCTTGCAACTCAATGACAAATGACCTAATTTAAAAATGGGTCTTATATGTTCTTCATTAAAGAACATATAAGAATGGCCATTAAGCACATGTGAAGATATTCAACATCAGATACCACTTCAAGCCCACTAGGATGGCTAAAACTAAAAATATGGACAATAGCAATTGTGGATGATGTGGAAAAACTGGAACCCTAAACACATTGCAGGTGGGAATTTAAAATGATATGGCTACTATGAAAAACACTTTAGTAGTTTCTTAAAAAATTAAAAATTTATAATAAGATTCAGTAATTACACATCTAGATAAATACCACAAAGAAAGGAAAATTTACAAGGGACTAAAATTTTCACAAGAATGTTTGCAGCAGCATTCATGTTATCAAACAGGAAACAATCTAAATGTCCACCTACTGGAGAAGACCAAATATTGATTATCTATATAATGGAATACTATGCAGTAATAAAAGGAACTACTGATAAATACTACAACCCGAATGAACCTTGAAAACATTATGTTATAGAAAGTAAACCAGATGCAAAAGACCACAAATTATATGATTCTGTTTATATGAAATGTCCAGAAGAGGCAGATTAGTGGTTGCCTGGGGCTAGAAATGAGTAATAATTGCAAACAGGTATAAAGGAACTTTTGAGGGTGATAAAACTGGATAGTGGTGTTGACAGCACAATTCTGTTATGTAAATAACTCGAAACACTGCTTCTGGGAAGGACAGCTAATTCCTGGGGGACCGAAGTAGAAAGGATGTTTTTTTATCAAATGTTTTCATAGTTTTGGGCTGGGGATGTGGCTCAAGCGGTAGCGTGCTCGCCTGGCATGCGTACGGCCCTGGGTTCGATCCTCAGCACCACATACAAATAAAGATGTTGTGTCTGCCAAAAACCAAAAAATAAATATTAAAAAATATTCTCTCTCTTTTTCTAAAAAAAAAATGTTTTTATAGTTTAAATTTTGAGGCATCTGAACTGTATTATCAGTTCAAGAAATGAGAACAAAAATTTGCAGGGGAGGGTGTGGCAATAAAGATTTAATGAATTCAACAGTGAGAGGGAATAAAACATGTGTTGGGCCATAGAAATGTTCCAGTTTCAGAAAGGTGATCAATTGGCTCAGTCAATATGCTCTCACCACCTGCAGCACAGCACATTTAATTCAAAGGAACATGTTTAAAAATTGGATATTGATTAACTTGGACCCAAGAAAGCTGCCAAATTTGGAAAGGGGAGAAGAAACCATGACCCATGAGGAATGGTTTGGAATGAAGACCTAAAAACAAACCCTTTGGGGAAGGAAGAAGGGTCCTGAGAAGAAGACCCGACCTATTTCTTAGACCTTTGGAGAGCTATTCTGGAAACAGCACTAGACATAAGTAGAATTTGGACCTTTAAAACAAAAACCTTCAACAACTGCAGCCTGAGAAAATAGAATGTCTGTCCTAGGAACAGAAAGGGAATAATGGAGTTGTTGAAGCACAGGCTGGTGTAGATGCGTGTTGATGTGATGGGAGTGGGAGGACTACAGGACTCTTGTGGTGTCTTCCAAGGTCTCTGGCACTTCCAGAGTAGGTAACCAGCCATGATATGCACCACAAAGGTGAAAAATCCCATTTACTGTGTATCCTTGGTGTGTGCAATTCTATTTTTTGCTAAAAATCTTCTTTAATTCCTGCTTATAATATTGTAGTCATTCAAAAACAGAAAACAGTCTAAAGATAAATTCCATCAACAAAATACATTTATTCAGGTCCTTAGGGTGGGAAGATTAAAAAAGACAAAAACAAATG